AATTATCATTTTTTAATCCATCCAGATGACCTGACTCAACGTTGTTCGACTTTTCTACCTGGATTATTGAACATGCATCAGGACCATTAGAGACATTTCTTCATAAAAAGCTAACAGGAATGGCCTCCTGAGGTGTTCATGATTTTACACAGATTGTTAGTCAAACACAACAATCACAGGAAAGTTGGAGCAGATTACGTAGATTTGCTCTACTTTCTGACTCCTGCTGTTCCTGACATAACAGATGCATCAGGGTTCCTTTTATTAGTAGATAATAATGTTATGCTAATGCGACGCTCCTTATTTTATCATTAATCACAGAAGCAAGCGATGTGACACAGGGCTTCCCTGTTGAGTCGCAGTGAATCAAACAGGTGCATAATCTGTTTCATTCCAAACCGACCCGTTTTCCTCTTCTTTGTTTACATCCTGGTCCAAAGAAAGCTTGAATGAAAACTGCATCGTACAGCGCAACGTAAAAATTATACACTGGCAAATTGATTTGCACAAATATGAACGTGCCAAGAGATATGTGGGCAATTTAGTGAGCACGGATCTAATTGTGGATTTCACCCTAATGAAAAAAGATGTAATTAATTAATCAGATAATTCAGTGCCACGCATGGCAGGACGCACATCTGTGCAGTGGTGATGGGGAGGGAGACAGACGAGCTGAGCTCCCCTGTAGCTGTGCTGGAATCCAGAGCAACTTTAAAAAAAGAAAAGCTCCCAGTTAGTTTGATGACACTTCCTGTACTCAGTACAGCGTCCAGAGGAAGGAAAGATCTGAGGCGGATTGAGGTAACGAGGAGGACCTGAGGGGGGGCAGTGCTGGTACAAGACAAACATAAACTGTGCCACTTCATCTGGAGACAATGGGGGACAGGACACCAAGTGTGCTCTCATCCACAGCTCCATTGTCTGCCCATCTCTTTTACTCCTCCTCTGAGCTCGGAGCATCGGTGGGGTGAAAGGAGGAGGGGAAGGGAGGAGGACGGGGAGCAGCAGGGGGGCAGGGGGGGCCTGGCTGTGTTCTTTCTCCTCTGTCTGTGTGCAAATGCACAGACGGTTCAGTAGTAATTTGATGTGTGTCCCGGGGGACGTTTGATGGATTAAAGCTAAGCAGCTCCATTTCGCAGCACCACCTGATCTTCCACGGCTTGTGGCCCATATAAAGCTGGCGTGATTGCTGATCTCAGCTAGTCTGACAGTCTCTCTCCCTCCTCTCCCTGTCTGCCTCTCCTCTTCCTCCTCTTTAAGCCTGCTGCATCACAGGAGCTATCCAGTGCTGAACAGGATCGCTTTGAGTTTTTATTTTTTTATTTTTCTCCAGGGGGAGCCGGGGGAACCAGAGAGCATCACTGGTTTTCATTTTTTTGTTCTTGTCTTATATTTATGACCACATCATCCAGAAGGATTACCGTGAAGCCAGCTCTGCTCGTGTGCGTCTTCGGAGGGTCTTTCGTTTATCTTGCTCATGCGTTTTTCTCCGCTCTGTGTTTCCATCCATTAAAACATGCCCCGCTCGTTTTTGGTGAAGAAAATCAAGCTTGATGATTTCTCTTCATCCAACGTGGTCACCTCCAGTCACCATCAGCACCTGGACGACTCGTTTACTTTCGCCCGCTCCATCACAGACTCGGTGACCAGCCTTGGGGTTCGCCTCAGTGAGAATGGTGAGTTAACGTGCCTCCAGTTAAAGATCACTGTGCCTGTGGACAGCTCAGCTTGTCTGGATATTTCCAAACAGACGGCGTCCTCTTTTGTTTCATTCTGTTCGTTGAGACGTTTTTCCATGAGTCAGCCAATAAGATTCTCATAGAGTGTAAATTAATGTGACATGTAACATGCAGACAGACGAATTTCTGCACTAACATCCAAAATAATCCGCTCCAGAGGCACCCCACCCCCATTTGCTGCTCCCAGACTTTTGTTTTTTGACTCCAGTGAAGGGCACACACAATCCAGGTCACAGCCGCGGATTAGTTTATGTAAATAGGGAACAAAACGTGAGTCTAATCAGGAGGAGGTCCCGTTACGTATTTGTATAACTGCAGCGAGCTTGTGGTGTCTGAACACGCTCGGGCTGCTGATATCTGCTCACGATGTGGACTAAAACATTGGTGGAAATGAGAGATGAGTATCAAATGATACATTTGTCCTTAGCTGTTATTGTCCTTGAGTTCCCATCATGGTCCAATCCTCCCTCGCCCCCCTTTTTCCATCCAAATGGAGCTTGCACACGGTCTCCCCACCCCCATCGCTCCACTAAATCTTTCCTTTCCTTCCGGGCATCTGAAAACTAGCAGGGGTTAGAGTTTCAGCCACGCAGGCCTATTGCCGCCACAAGAGACATCAACACTGTACAGAGGAGCCAGGAGGGAGGTGGAAAGAGAAGGAGGCAAAAATGCTTGGGGCAGCAGGGAGGTGGAGCACGTGATGGAGGTTGTACAGTAAATATGAAGACAGGCACATCACTGTGGTCAGCGCTGCGAGCGTCCTCGCTGCAGCCGAGACGACCTTCACTTTCAGCCTGCTTTAAGCTCGCCGCTTCCATTTTGTGGCCACGTTTAGCGGGCCATATGTGAGCCTTTGTTGTGGTTCCTCAAGACGCTCCTGCTCTGAAAAACAAAAACTCTGCAGCTGAGCGGCGCTGACGATGCCCACCTGTTTGTTATTCCACCATTTCAGCAGCAAGGTGACATTTACAGCAGGAGGCGTTGGATTCATTTAGTTGCTGCTGGTGCCAAAAAATTTAATTAAATCCTGAACAGATCAGCAAAATTTAAAGTAACTAAATGGTTGATTATTCAAGAATATTAGGACAAAAAATATTTTTTAACAAGCAAACCTTTAAAAATGAACTGAAACCTTTTAAAATTTCATATTGCAATATTAAAAAAAAAAAAATCCACAGTTAATATTTAATTTGTATTATTTTGTCACTCTATTGTTCCCAATTTTATCATTGCAGCATCATAGAAATTCAGTTTTATCATAAAAGAGTAATAAAGGACAAAGTTATTTCATCTGAACAAAAGAATGGTTCGTTTGCGCTGAGTGGAAACGGAGATAAAATAAAAGATTTGTGTGCGGCTGAAACAGCTAACGTCAGCACTTCTGCTGTGCCGGGAGCTTTTCTGCCTCCCATTGTGGAGACATTTGACTCGAGTGTGTGCTGAACAACAAAGAGGGCTGGCTGAGAGGCTCCATTAATTACATGCTTGCTTTGCATTACAGACACGAGTCTACGAGCTGTAGAGGCTGATACAGCGCGAGTCCTAAATGATGAGCTTCATGTCTGACCTTGGCTAATTGAAGCACACTGAACACCTCTGCTCAGCCGTAATGCATGGAGGCTTTGATGGAAATATTAGCAGATATAAAGCAGGTTGATGACTGCACCCTTCAGATAAACTCCTCGTTGATCACGTTGCTGTAAAACAGGTGGATGTGCTCGTAGCTGTCGTAGCAGCAGCATTTGTGCCTAACTTACCTTTTCATGTTTGACTTCCCAGCGAACGTGAAGCTCTGGCAGAGACAAACACCATCTGTGTAGTTTAAAACTGTGAAGCCATGCAGTGCTGCAGAACGCCACGTGCACAGGCCTGTAGTTTCCTTGTCCTCTGGTGTCACGGTCATGTCTTTGACAAAGGGGGTGTGTGAACTGAAACCCTTGGGAATGGAGAAGCTGTAGAAGGAGAGCACTTAAACTGATTTCTTAATGGCTTGTTTCCTGGAAGCACTTGAGCGTGCTCGCTGCTGCAGACAGGTGACCCTCTTTGCAAACGATACGTGCAACGCCATGTTTCACATTATCAAACTGCATCCCATAAACTATTATTGAGGCTCGCAGATACTTGATCTCTTCCACGAATTATTCCTACCTTCAGCGTAATTCGACTCTCCGAACAGCTGCACTGTTTGCAGATGATAGCTTATTGATCAGTTCAAAACTTTGAATTTCATTAAAAAGCAGTCAATACCTAATTTCCACTGCTTGCTGCACACAGCGCTTAGGAATGGCTTTTTTCCTGCAGTTACACGTTATTTGTCCAGGGAAAACAATTTTTTATGTGGACTTAAAAACAAAAACAGAAAGTAAAATGCATTTAGTGTGTGTTCAGCTGCATCTATCTGAAGATCACATTTTGTTTGGGTTCATTTAGCTGCCAGCAAGGCTTTTAGCTCCTGAGCTGCTTCAGAGGGAAAGAAAGGACAGGAATGATGCCAACAAGCATTTATCTCTCAGAAATCATGCTTTCTACGGTCGGGGACTCCTAAATCACAGGCGGCACATTGTGGCTAGCTCCAACAGGTTTAATCCTGCTTGAAGAAGCCGTACACAACAAACATACACATTAATGGATATGCAAAAAACATGAAAACCTTGTAAAATTTGAAGGAATGAGGAATGAGTTTGGTGTCTCTAACCAATGATCCCACTTTGTTAAAGAGGAGCTGTATTTTGCACCTTTGTTCCTTTGTGAGTCCAAACTGTAACTTCTCCTAAACTTCATTTGATATTTTATTTTTTCTGAGGTATTGTTTGAACAAAACCAGTTCTGTAAAACCTGCAATAAGCTCAGTGCTGCCACTCACCCACTCACCATTTTAAAAGAGGGCAGCCATCCAACATTGTAATAATGTAATCACCAGCATGTCACTGTGTCCTCATCCATCACAACCTCTGGCCAACTGTGTTTGCGTCTGTCTCTTACCCAGGATACATCCAGGATTACATCACGCCATCTGTATACCAGGGGGAGAAGAAGATGGAGCATAAGCTGGCCTCTCCGGTGTCCGACCCCCTGTACACCCAGGTGAACAGTGCAGGGGAGTACTGCGACCCTGACCTCAAACACCCCGACAGTCCACAGTCTGGCATGACGGCGAGCGGCTTCTACACTGGTGAATCGGAGGCCCTGGCCGAGGGTTACACCATGGATGCCTTCTTCATCTCTGACGGGCGCTCCAGGCGAAAAGGAGACGGGGAGGCTCGTGGGGGAGGCTCGAGAAGCAGCAGTGCAAACGGCGGAGCTCAGGAGAGAGGAGTTGGTGTGTCTCGCCACACCTGCAACGAGTGCGGAAAGACGTACGCCACCTCCTCCAACCTCAGCCGACACAAGCAGACGCACCGAAGCCTGGACAGCAAGATGGCCCGCAAGTGTCCCACCTGTAGTAAAGTGTATGTGTCCATGCCGGCGTTGGCAATGCACATCCTCACCCACGACCTCAAGCACAAGTGCGACGTGTGCAGCAAGGCCTTCAGCCGGCCCTGGCTGCTGCAAGGTCACATGCGCTCACACACGGGGGAGAAGCCCTTTGCGTGCGCCCACTGTGGCAAAGCCTTCGCTGACCGTTCAAACCTCCGCGCCCACATGCAAACACACTCTGCCTTCAAGCACTACCGATGCAAGCGCTGCAATAAGACCTTCGCTCTCAAGTCCTACCTGAACAAGCACTACGAGTCAGCGTGCTTCAAGGGCTCTGCAGACGAGGACGACTCTGGATCAGAAAACTAACCACGAGGAAGAAGCTAACCGTTTGAACACAACCAATAACCCTGTTCACTCTGCCCTCCATGCCTTGTTTCTTCCCTTTTTTTAGAAAGCAATATTTTCACTGAGATTACGTGAAGAAACTTTACTGATTATGGCAAAGACAATTTCAAAAGATGCTGGATTTTTCCCCTGCACAGTAGCTAATCGTCCACAGAAACAAACAATCAATCAATCAACCTTCCTCAAAGTAGAGACTGTAGATGATAGTTGAACACAAATCAGCAACATGCGCTGACACTGGCGAGGGAACATGTAAACACACACAAACACACACACACACAACTATATACGAGGCCTGGCATGTGAATTTTTATCAATGACTATAATAATATTGATATCAATAGTAATATTTAGATTCCTGATATTTTATAGGAAATAGTAACAAGAAAAAGGAAAAAAAACATAAAAAGGACTAACAGTGTTTTGTTTTTTAGAGACAAAATGACCTCTTGTATTTTTATGCTGCTTTTTATTTGCTAAGAATTGAATTCTTTTGCAACTGCCAACATAAACTTTTTACAAAAATGTGAACTAAGACAGTATTTGCAAAAAAGGAGATCATTTTAAAAAGGTAGAAAAACTCCAAGACCCCTTTTTTTTCCAAACAAACGTTTCAATTCAACGGATGTTATTTTTCTATTTGATTTTTCTAAATTGATTTTTTTGCTCTTATTTTGTTGTGTGAATTGAAATGCACCTTTGTAACTGTGGGTCCTTCAAGCAGAGCTCACCTGAATTAGACCGTAAGTCATTTAACTCTGCAGGAGCAGTGGTTGGCAAACGTTAGCCTGTTGACCGGGCAGTTTTACTCTCGCCGTTTGATCAAACTAACAGTCTCACCGTGACGCTATGACTCGGACACAAAGACCAAATGATGTAATAAGTGCCACGAGCAGTTCATTAATCTATAACAGGGGTGCCCAATACATCTATCTCGATCTACCAATCGATCTTGATCTACCAATCGATCTCGATCTACCGGTCGATCTCAAAGGTATTATGAGTAGATGGCATGGCATTAAAAAACAGACGTCAGCCGATCATCCACCTATGAAATTTGTCTCTTGATTGACACACAGGCAGCCGGTCTGGGGTCTCGTTTACACGACTTGAAACGTCCGGCCGTTCATTTACAGACAACAGCCTCATTCTCTCTGAAACTGAAGGTTTCTGAATCCAGGTCTCAGAGTGGAGGTGTTCTGAGGAACTCCCCACAGAGGTATGAAAAGCTCCAAGTGTGAAGTGACACACTACAGGTGGCTGCCGTCCAAAGTTTTCCTGCACTAACAACAGTTATAATAAATGTCAGAGAGCAGAGTGTTTTTGTACTGCTCACCCTTTTTCAGCATGTAGGAGAAAAACTAATCAAATCCAGGGTCTGAAGAGACATTGGTGTGTTCACCAGTTTGTATGAAACTGTCATGCAGACGCTGCATGTGCAATGAATGCGGCTGAGCCCTCAGGGTTGCCAGATAAGTTTAATATGTCTTATTTACCCCCACCCTTTCTGTGCACATGTTCAACAAACACAACACACACCTCATCTTAGAATATGTTTACTCAGCACATCTGACAGTTTGGTCAAAATACTATAAATTTAAAGTCACAGTACTATAGGTCATCATTTCTTATCTGGCAACCCAACAGACATGGAAACTACTGCGTTTTCATGTAAACCCGCTAATTTTCTATATAAACATTGAAAAAAACACTAACGTTTCCAGAGGTTGTTCTCGTGTAAACGGGGCCTTACAGCAGGTAAATCTTTGACTTGGTCATTTCAGCTCACAGGCTGAAAATGTCTGGGCACCCCTGCTCTATAGCAACACGCAAAAAACACAAAGCTCTTGTTCTTCCTGCACCGTGATGGCGGCTGCCTTCATGGTGCCTCATCTGGTCTATTTAAGTACCCCCACCCCCCCCAGTATTACCTCAGAGTGAAGGTTTATTCTCACCCTCAGTTACAAAGTGACACATTTTTACCTTTGTCTGTTTTATATGATGATGATGCATCTATTTATCATGTAAATACTTAATTTATCTTCCTATTATTTATTTATTTATTTATTTATTTAGTGTATTTATTGAATGCTTATTTATTATTTACCTATTTATTTATTCATTGACCTTGTAAGATGCTGCTGATCTTCAAAGAAAATGTTTATATGCATGAAAACTGTAGAAAGTCCGCGGGACTTAGATTTAAAGAGGAACAATGACTTCCAGTGAACGAAAGCAGAATTATTTTTAGGTTTTTGTGGCAATAACACGACTGACGAAGCAATTGACATGTTAGAAACAATCACGGCTATTCTGTTTTCGTTCCACTTGAGGCAATAAAAACCCCAAAAATAATATCTGGCATTTTTTAGAAAGACAAATGCCTCCCCAGCACTGAAACGTTTCGGCTAAATCTCAGGCAATAATTCTCAGAAGTGGTTTGCACTTATTTGTATTAACCCGGATGTATTTTTTATTTAAACTTGGTACATTGAAATAAGAAGGAAGCAACAGCAATAATACTTTATCGTTTATTATATTTTTATAATAACGGTGAAAGTAAAGGAAGAGCAGATAATTAGTCTGACAGTGATACAAGCGTTGAGTCAAAAATAAAAAAAGAAGCTTTTATCCATCACAGTTATCTTTATTTTTAGCTTTAGCTTTTGAACAATGTGAAATTAATTCTCATTAAGTCATTATAAAATAGCTAAGTGTTGAATATCCACGTGGTGTCAGAGTAGTTTAAACTCTCTGAGGTCCAGGGAGCTGAAATCATCTAAAGATGGTGCGTTCTCTGAAGCAGCACTAATGAAAATGATCTTGGCATGAACTTTATTGGCACAGAGTTTTTAAGAGTGCTGTAATAAAACGAGTTGCAGTGAAGCACTTCCTGCTTCATCCCTCCCGTCCCAGCAGACGCTGCGAGCATCACGTGCTGATTGGTGGAGGGCGGCGGCGTGTGGGAGGATAACAGGTGTTTGCAGACAGACTGCAGATAGGCAGCGTAATTGAGTCGGTGAGCGACCTCCGAGGGGAAGGTCGAGCACCAGCAGGCAAATGCACCGTCAGCTATTTGCATATTCCAAATGGATGGTGGCGTGGCGCTAACGCTGAGCTCGCTCTGAACAACAAAACTACAGAAACTGGAGAGAACAGAGGAAGAGGAGCTCCTGCTCTGTTCGTCCTTCCTGTCCTCTTCATCATCCTCGTGCTCCAGATGGATCACTTCATCCAGACAAATTACTTTGTCCTGAAGAACCGCTTCATACAGATGAATCACTTCGTCCCGAAGAACTGCTTCATACAGATGAATCACTTCATCCATATGAACCGCTTCATCCAGATGAACTGCTTCATCCAGATGAACTGCTTCGTCCAGATGAACTGCTTCGTCCAGATGAACTGCTTTGTCCAGATGAACTGCTTCGTCCAGATGAATCACTTTGTCCAGACGAACTGCTTCATCCAGATGAACTGCTTCATCCAGATGAACTGCTTCATCCAGATGAACTGCTTTGTCCAGATGAACCGCTTCATCCAGATGAACTGTTTTGTCCAGATGAACTGTTATGTCCAGATAAACCACTTCATCCAGATGAATCACTTTGTTCAGATGAATCACTTCGTCGAGATGAATCGATTCATCCAGATGAACCACTTCATCCAGATGAATCACTTCATCCAAATGAACCACTTCATCCAGATGAATCTCTTTGTGCAGATGAACCGCTTCATCCAGATGAACCACTTCATCCAGATGAACCACTTCATCCA